GTGTCTTTTTTTATTGCTGAAGTGTGCTGAAATTTCTTCTTCTGCATTCTACTGTACGGACGTAAATTTACTTTCCCTTCAGCCTGAGGCTTATTCATTTCACTTTTGGTGTGAAAAGGCTTTTATATTTGCCAAAAATATAACTTTTTTATTTTAAAAACAAACTAGCAAGCCCTGTGCAGATTTAAAATGTAACGCAAAAGTAACATAACGCATTACTTTCCATAAAAAGTAACTAAGTAACGTAATTAGTTACTTTTTTATGGAGTAACGCAACATTGTAATGCATTACTTTTAAAAGTAACTTTCCCCAACACTGATTATAACCAATAAGACAAATACTAGACAAAGCATAATTTAGTCATAAAAATATAGCCTCATTAAATCAGGACTGACAATGTGCACTCAGTAACCCCACGATGCACCAGAGTCAGGCATTGTCCTTATTTAAAGGCTTACAGCTATGGGAATGAAACAATGCCTTTGTAATTTGTTTTATCGAGAGGTGGAATTATCTGCCTCCTCCCTGAAGGTGGAGGTTCAAGGTATTTGAGAAGTGTACTGTTTGTGTATTTATTTTCTTAGCCTCCTCCACAGCAATGTGGTCAGCAAGGTCCTGAAGCTGCTGAGGAAGGCCACAGAGGTTCAAACACAGCCTTTCTATTTTTTCAATTCTTTTTATTTATATATTTTTATTTTTATTTTTAGCTTTTATTTATTTACTTTTATTTTTTTTGCTAGATTAACTTTGAGCCTAGGCACCTGAAGGTTTTTGGACTTTTTAATTCCTAGATAGTTTTTGCTGTGGACATTGATTTATATTAAAATCTGTATGTTTACTAACACTGTTTTTAAGCAGAATTTCCAGTGAAAAACAATTTGTCTGTCCACGATGAAAGTGAAACTGTGATGTAACAGCCAATCAAAAAATATTTGAATTTTAATATATAGCTGTGTTACTTTCAACCAGTGAGATTTCACTGTGGGCAGAGCTACCTAGTGTGACTCTAGAAACCAAGAGGTCAATAAAATGTTATTTTTGTTGTTGCTGCTTATCCAGGACTGTATACCTTACCACAAGTTCAATCTTCTCATGTGAAAATCAGTTTATCATTGACTGCCTTTCTGTTGAAGTCAACCAGTCAGTCATGGACATTTCCAGCTGTAGGCTCAAAAAGTTCGGAGCAATCTGACAGGTCTACCAGAGTCATATCATCTGCAATTTAACAGCTCTTATCTGAATTCCTCATATTATGTGTACTTACAGACAATAGCACTGGGAGGATCATAGTTCCTTGAGGAGCCCTAGTAGAAACAAACAAGCATGAGACGGTAGTGCTGTTGTTTTAAACATACTGCTCTCAGCAAGAGAGAAAGTCCAGAATTCACAGTGTGATGGAATCACAGCTTGATCTGTGGTTTAGTCACGAGAGAACAAGGCACTGTAGTTAAATACAGATGAGAAGTCTAGAAGAGTATCCTGGCTTCTTCAGATGTATTATGTATGACGTTCAGAGCTGCACAGACCTTCTTTGACTCTTATAGTCACAAAGCTCTAACTATCAAGAGAGGTCAGCTGACTTGAAGACTACATGTGTGGTCACATTCTGTGTGAGATCTGCGTAACATCACACAATGATCAAAGATGTGTCTGCATGTTCACACAGACCCTCAATTAGAAACATTTTTGGACTTTTCTCAGGAGATTGATGTATGAAATAATTGTAATTCTTTCAATTAATCTGCATATCTGCCTATGCTTGCTTTAGTTAAAAAGAACAGTGTTCTGTGAATGTTAATGCTTTAATAACAAATATTTATCAGGAGCGTGTATGCTGGGATTTCATAAATTTCATGGAGAAAAAAGTAGCGTATCTAGTAATGTAACTAATTACTTTTGAAATAAAGTAATCAGAACAGTAACATGATTACTTTTAAAAGGAGTAATCAGTAATCAGTAATTTAATTACATTTTCAGAGTAACTTGCCCAACACTGATCGTGTTAAGGATTTCATGTTATTAATCTAATTAAACAATTGAATCAATTGGCATTGAGAATCAATGGCACTGACTTAATTATTACATTCAATTGCATTTTAAATTGTATTTAATTTAACTAAATTAAATACATTTAAATAATTGAATGAATATGCACCACATTTTGGCTGATATCAATTAGCCGAAAGCAACTCCGATTAAATGAATAGCCATGAAACTCTACTTGTGTTCTAATTGGTTCGTTCAATTCAATGTTCACAGCCAATCGGTTTCACATATTCATTAACGTTTTAACTATAACCAGGACATGTTCAATGAATAATATGTCTGTGCGCTATGTATGTCCTCATCTTAGCCCACCGCCTCCCCAGCACCACCTGCCTAGATCTGCTATGGGGGATCTTCCACTGTCTACCAGCAGCAGCATATTTCCTTTTAATTTGATGATCTGAGCATTTAACAGAAGCAAGTCTACTTGCTCTGCAGCAGCCTAACATATCTAGTCCACCAAGACCAAACCTATGCACAATCTGTTTACATTAATAAAGATTTTACACTCTATATCCCGAGAGTTGTCATGACTGAACTCATTTTGCTGCAGTTGCTGCTGGTGTTGAGCACAGCAACTCATGTCAATAAGCACTCTTAAGAGGAAAGCACTTTTCGAAAGGGAGACCTCAAAAGGGTTAAATGATCTAAATGCTAAGAAATGTGAACACAATTAAACTTCTAATACCAGCAGCCAACAAATATCCAATAGGATTGATAGAGTGGTGAAGAGAGAATTGCAGGTCTAGTGTGAGGTGTGAGGAGGGAGAGGAAGTGTTAATGGGTACAGAGAGCTGTCAGGGTCAAGAAGGCTTCATAAGTTCACACAGACAACTGACCTGATTTCAGCAACCGTCCAAATCACGTCACACATCAGTCTCCTTAATCCAACACATCAACCGGAATTGAGTGTTTGTCTTTGTGGTTAGTTGACTGGCAGTGAGTGGCTTTTGTGTCTGCCTTTTTATAAGCGTACTGTTCGTGTGTATGGTAAGCTGACTGGAAATCAGTGGTTTTTGTGTCTCTGTGTAGGTGTGCAGCTTTCAATACATGTATGTCTGTGTGGTTGCACTGCTTGGAAATACACACATGCTTACACGTATGCGTGCACACACACAAAGAGTGGGACAGGAAGAGGCGGGCTGTGAACTCTCTTCTTTTACAAGTTACTTCCGTTTTCAGAGAAAGCTCATATGCTCATAGGTAGGGATGCAACGATTAGGCTATAGATTTTGTTGGTACGATTATTGTCTGAGGAATAATCACGGTTTCATGATTATTACGATTATTATGCATTTATTAGTTTTACAACATTACTAATGTATAAACTCACATGAACACTCTTTAGATATTAAAGTGTTATTTATTGCTGCTTTTTGAAACCGAAACAACACAGTAATCAATAATACAGCACAAAATGATAATAAAGACCAACAAAAGTCCATCTCTCTTTAACTGGAATTAGAAAAAGGTGACCTCTGCTCTGTAAACATCCATGTCAGTATTTCCGTTTTAAAAATTACAAATGGAATAGATCACAAAAGTATTTAATGTTTTCAGTTTGCACATTCTTTAGATTTCTTTTGGACCTGAGGTAGAGAACTTGGAAACATGGTGAAAAAAAAAATATTGTTGGTTTTTGTCTTGTGAATAAAACAGGGATAATAAATAACAATGTTTATGAAGTATTATTAAAACTATTATTTACTTTATTTATCCCACAGGGTGAACTGTTACTAATGAGGGGAATAAACTGAACTATTATTGTAGCCTAATCAACTGCCATCCAATGCGTATTCATTTTAATAATCTTTATAATAATTCATTTGATTTTACATGTTGCCTGAGAAAATCATGTCTATTATTTTGGTTTGTGAGATCGGAGAACATTTAGGAGGACAAAAACCTATTGTGAACGCTGGCCTAGGGCTGGACAATATGGCCAAAATGTATATCACAATATATTTCTAATGACAATATCTGGTGAGAATTCTTGTTTGGTTCATATATTCCAAGACGTAGGCGAGAATCTGTGATTGCGAAGTACAGTAAATATCTACACCGGTGCGGTGACTGACTGCCACACATACTCCTCAAAACATTAGATTCATCCGCGCTGGAGCCGCGCCGGTACACAACCCACACAATGAAAATAATTCTGCAAGTCACTGCAATTGCAAGTTTCAAACAGAGATGGCGACAAAGAGGCAAAACTTACGGACTGCAGCTTTAAGTGATTATTAACACTTAGTGATTATGTTGTCTTGGTTTAAATGATGATCATTGTATACATAAGTTCAGCGAGTTCAGTAAGTTAATTCACATTTAAAAACCATCATGGGTAATAAACAGGACTACTGTACATGACTGACTTTTACAATCTTCAGAAATAAAGTTTGTGTGTTTGCTTTGTGCATGCATAGAGGAAGATAAACATTTACCCCATACACAAATTCATGATACCTACTCAGTTTTATGAGAGTAAAAGAGGAAATTTCAGATTTTATCAGCTCAACTGACAACTCATAAAACTAAAGACGATATCAGTAAATCTAGAAGCTTACATACATGTGAAAATGCCCACTCATCTCAGACACACCTGTACTTAAAGACATAATTTTTATGTTCACATACCATGTATGCACTAAATAAACATATGGTTTGTTTAAACAAACATACAGTACACGTGTTATAGATGAATAACCTTATCTGGGTCGATTATTAATACATAACAGGACAGGGGTGATAAGAACCTACATTACATATTGAAGCTTTGGTTAGTTGGATTTTAGTAGTACAACTGTATGTCGTTAACCCTTCTTCATCTTGCTAGTTTATCAAAACTAGAATGAATGAAGCTATATCATATTTCCTTGCATTTTTCTGAAATATTCTGATCGTAATTTTAGTGAAACTGAATGTTGAACCGTAAACAGCAACTTGGTTGTTAATCATGTGTGTCTGTGATTTGCAGTCAAGCTCACCAGTGGGCAGCCTGATGGACAGCATGTCACAGAAGTACCATCAAATAAACCAGGCATTCGAGGAGCTCAGAATATTGACTCAGGACACAGAGAATGACCTCAGAAAACTACAGCACAACCAGGAGTACTTCATTATACAGTACCAGGAGAGCCTCAGAATACAGGGTATACAGCCACACTCATTTACATCTATATACTTGACAGACACTTTTATTCAAAGCAACTTGCCTTGCATTCAGGATATACATTCCATCAGTTCATGCACTCCATGGGAATCTAACTTTGACCCCACACACACACCAGCGGACAGTTGTATGTATGGATATGCAATCAGATACACAGTCTATTTTATCATTCAGTACATACTATAGCAAAAATGCCCTCATTAAAACAACCTGTAGGCTCACATAATTCCTGAGAATACCACTGAATACCAATTCAAACCAGTTTTAAAGGGATAGTTCACCCAAAACTGAAAATTCACAAACAGTTTCTGGGGACTAACAGTGCTTTGGTTACCCACATTCAAGAGAAGCTAAACAGAAGAAAGAATTTCATACAGGTTTGGAATAACTCGAGGGTGAGTAAATGGTGACAGAATTTTCATTTTTGGTGAACTTTTCTTTTAAGCCTGAATATAAATCTCTTGGTGTAATCATTTATAAATCAATGTTATTTGTAAAGATAATTGCAATAAAAAATAATTGAAAATACATCAGCACAGGAAAGAAAACTACATTTGTCACAAAGGAATGGCTAGATTCACAACCCACTTTTTCATACCCAGATGGCTCTTTTACGTGCAAAATTATGGGATTTTTAAAAATAATTATTTTGTTAGCAAAGCTTGTCTTTGTGGACTAAATCCTCCTCTCTGTTGTGTGCAGCTCAGTTATCAAGTCTGGCCACGCTGCCTCCAGCAGACCGACAGCTACGAGAGCCCAGCCTGCTTAGCAAGAGAGCCACAGTAGAGGCCTGGCTGACCCGAGAGGCCAACACCCTGCAGAAATACAGACTGGTACACACTAGGGCTGCACGATAAATCGCATGCAATATTTAACGCGCATCTTATCAGTAAAGCCGGTTCTGTAATCAGCGGTAAATCTCCATCACCTGCGGGCTTTCACATTGGACGTGGTTTTGCGCAACTCGTCAGTGAACAACGGCTCTGTGTAGCTAATGCTGCTCAATGTGAAAGCCCGCTGGCGATGGAGATTTACCGCTGATTACAGAACCGGCTTTACTGATAAGATGAATAAAATATTAGTTAAATATCGCATGCGATTTATCGTGCAGCCCTAATACACACACACACACACATGCTCCAAGTGAATAGTGTGCATAGCATTAGCATAATACAACACCCTGTACTGTAACATTAGTAACCCATGCTTTAAAGGGGCATATCGTAAACATTGTAGCGTCATAAACTACTGCTCAAAAGTTTGTGGGTTTGCTATGTTTTTTTTTTTTTTAAGAAATTAATACTTTTAATCAGCAAGGATACATTTAAGTGACCGAGAAGACATTAATAATTTTACAAATAATTTTTTATTTCAAATAGATGCTTTTTAGTTTCAAAATATTAGGCAGCACAACTGTTTTCAAGACTGATAATAATAAGAAATGTTTCTTGAGCAGCAAATCAGCATATTTGAATGATTTCTGAATGATCATGTGACACTGAAGACTGAAGTAAAGATGCTGTAATTTGCTTTGCCATCACAGGAATAAATTACATTTGAAAACATATTACAATAGAAAACACTGGTAACACTTTATTTGATTAATATTACTCAGTACTTAAATGTATAATTACACTGTAACAAGGACACCTTAAAATAAAGTGTAACCAAAACACTTAATTTAAATTGTAATAATATTAAATCAAATATTACTGTTTTTGCTCTTTCTTAGTTTCTTACTCTTAATTTAGTTACACATTAACACATTTTTAACCTTTTTTTCTGGCAATTTAAACTGTTTTTGCTACTGTCCATCTATATGTAATTTACCGACATTTAGAGTCAGCATGAAAATTCATGTTGATTCTCTTATTGTGAACGATTTATCCCTGCATTGCTGCAAACTCCCATTCAGATCTGCCTTCATTTACTCAGCGACCAATAAATAGAGCCATCGATAATCAATTTCACTTGGGTCTATGTCACAATATGAAAATATACAATACAGAAAAATGTTTATCGCTACGTCTGTTTCATCACGACTTTAAGGCATCTATATGTAAATTTCCTCTGTTTTGATTGGCTAACCTTTTTAAAGGTAAAATTATGAACACTTCCATTTCAAAATATCCTCCATTATTTTCCATTATATGTCTCCTTTAAAATGAAAGCAACACTTCCATATGATGTTGCCCAAGTACAGCAGTAAACCTGATGGCCATTGAGTACAGCACATATGTTCACATCTGTTCATGTGGTGTTATATTAACTTGTGTATGTGTGCTCAGGGATTGGCAGAGAAACACCAGAAGACACTGGCATTGCTACGTAAACAGCAGACGGTGATTCTTGACGATGAGCTGATTCAGTGGAAGAGACGTCAACAGCTGGCTGGCAATGGCGGGCCGCCCGAGGGAGGACTGGACATACTACAGTCATGGTGCCCACACATGCATACTTAGCAGTCTAATTTAGGACATACCATAGACCTCTATTGTTTTTAAAGCTAAAGATAATTTTAATTACTACAGATTAAGCCAAACCCTTATGTACAGTTATTTTATTTTATATATTTTTTTATTTTATTTTGCTATCTTCTGGGGCAGATTTGTCCCAGTGCATGGCTAAATAAAGCAATACACACACTAAGACAGTTATGCAAATAATCAGAGGCATGCGTATGTTGTGGTTTTGCACAAAACATTTGCGTTTACATTACACACACACAACATATGCAGAGAGCAGCTCTGCAGTTTATGCTTGGGTTTGGCATTTCTGCGTGTGTTTGTGCACAGGTGTGAGAAGCTAGCAGAAACCATTTGGCAGAATCGTCAACAGATCCGGAGGGCGGAGCATCTGAGACAGCAGCTGCCCATTCCCGGCCCCATCGAAGAGCTGCTGACCGAACTCAACAGCACCATCACGGACATCATCTCAGCTTTAGTCACCAGGTGTGTGTTTGTGTGTGAAAGAGAGAATAGCAGTGATGTTACGTGATTGCAAAGTGCAGCAGTAACACAACCAATATCCCCCCTGTAATCAACAATGTGCAATTTTACTGTATCTCTTTCTTGGCATTGCTACAATTTCAGCAGTGACTTCACAGTGTATTTGAATGAATCATATTAGTTGCCATGGTGACTTGTAACCATACATTCAAAGACATACATTTTCTTCCTTCCTGTGCTCTTTATGTGTGTGTATTTTTTCACTCAGTATTGAGCCTACAAGTCTAAGTGATTATAGGTTTTAAGGAGGTTTTACATTTTGGGCATAAAGGAAGGGGTAATTAGTGAATAATCAAGAAATCATTTTTAAAGGGATAGTTCCAAGAAATACTCACACTCATGCCATTTCTTACATATAGTACAAGAACAGGTTGATCACTTTTTCCATTAAATTACAGTGAATGGGCTTTTAGGCTTCAAAAAGGGTGCAAAAGCCTCATAAATGTATCAAAGTGGTCCGTACAACTCACGTTTTCTGAAGCCATACAGTGCTTTGTGTGTATAACAGAGAGAAAAATGTGTTATTATACACAGAAATGCTCTGCCTTAGTTCATAAGTTAGTTCATATTTTGGCCAGGACTCCCTGGTAGAAGAGATTTATCTCAATGGGATAATTCCTGGTAAAATAAAGGATAATAATAAAAATAAATAAGAGAAGTTTAATTAATATATCATTCAGTGATTTCAGTTGACTCATTCATTGAAAAAATCTGACTCAAAACACATAATTCATACATTAAATGGAGATTTCTACTTCTCTTATGAACAATCATGAATGCACATAGGAGAGCTGTTTTCAAAATCTTATGCTCACCTAGGCTGCATTATTTTGCTCAAAATACAGTAATATTGTGAAATAGTATTACAATTTAAAATAACTCTTTTTCTATTTGAATTAGGGCTGGTAAGAGATAGAAGTTTAATTAATATATCATTCAGTGATTTCAGTTGACTCATTCATTGAAAAAATCTGACTCAAAACACATAATTCATACATTAAATGGAGATTTCTACTTCTCTTATGAACAATCATGAATGCACATAGGAGAGCTGTTTTCAAAATCTTATGCTCACCTAGGCTGCATTATTTTGCTCAAAATACAGTAATATTGTGAAATAGTATTACAATTTAAAATAGCTCTTTTTCTATTTGAATTAGGGCTGGTAAGAGATTAAATTTTTTTTTTTATCTAATTAATTTCTTGATGTGTCGATTAATTAATCAAATGAATCGCAAATTAATCTCACATCATATTTGGCTGAGAAATTACTCCCAAAAGTCATTGTTGTGTAAAGCATCAAACAGACATTACAAAAAGTAGCTTCAGCAAGAAATATTTTGTTTGATTCAACATAAAATTTATTACATATACTTTTTTGGACCATGAAGGTGAGTAAATGATGACATAATTAAAATTTTTGGTTGGGTGAACTATACCTTTAGTAATTTTGTATTATTATGATTACTATGGAAATATAAAATTATTTCTTTAATGAAATGATACTCTAAATAATAAACTAAAACTGCCAGTAGGTGGTGGGAAATGTCTTAATGATTAAGTCATTGAGTCATTTATTCATTCATTTGATTCGTTGAAATGGCTGATTCATTCAGGAGTGAAGTAAATGGTTCTCTTTATGAATGGTCCATTGAATCATTAGGCTTGTTCGACTTGAAGCGCATCATCACCATCAGATCGATCAGTGTATGACATCATAGTACCGCGAGAGCGATTAGAGAACACCGATCGGTCTGTGCAGTGCTGCTTCAAATCCAATCAGGGCTGTTTCTAGTCATTTTGACGCTCTGGATGAAATCCCTATTCCCCCCCCCACACACATCATATACTGTATTTATATACTGTATATATAAAATTTATTTTCAGACACCAGTTTTTAATTTGTGGTCAGAATGTAGCTACTTATTACTTTGTTACTCACTGTGGTGTGAACTTCCCCTTTAAATAACACAACGTTCTGCTCTCTATGTGTATGATGCTGCTCCCATTAAGCACTGTTAGAAGTGAATGAATTGATTCAGCATTTCGACACTTCCGTAAGGATGCGTTAAATTTGACAAAGCAGTTTAATAAAGGATGTATTGATCTCGTGAATTAGCAAATTGTACTATATACTATTGATCCAGTGGCATACAGACATCGTCAGATTAACAGTACTCTATCCCAATGATGTTGGGGGATCCTGTGGGGGCAGCAATCATATTTTGGGGTGGCCGTGTTACTCTTTATCATAAGCCTGTTAAAATGTAGTGCCAGTACGTGTGCTCATTGGCGCCCCCTCAAGTTGGTGACGCTCTAGGCGACCACCTAGCTTGCCTATGCCTAGAAACAGTATTGGCTTGGAGCGTCTGAGGCTCCGATGCTTTCCACGTAAATGATGGGACACAACAACGCAAAGGCTGGGTCTGCCTCCTCCGAGGGCAGTGCTTGCAAGTTCACCACTTGGTCCCGAAAGGGAGTGGTGGGAACCTTGGGCACATAACCTGGTCGGGATGTCAACCAGATCTCAAGGTAACGTGAGAATCAGCTGGACCAAACTCAAAGCACGATTCCTTGACTGAGAATGCCTGCAGGTCCCTTACCCTCTTGATTGAAGTGAGTGCGATCAGGAGCAAAGTCTTGAGAGACAGGGAGCTCAGCTCAACTGAATCAAGCGGCTCAAAGGGGGCTCTCCGTAACCCTGTCAGGACCACGGAGAGATCCCAAGGGGGGTTGGGTGCGACCTGGGAGGGTTAAGTCTCCTCGCATCTCTCAGAAACCTGACAATCAGGTGATGCTTTCCCTGGGACATACCATCCACTGCATCATGATGTGCCACAATGGCAGTGACATACACCTTTAAAGTGGAGGGGGACAGCCTTCGCTCCAAATTCTCCTGCAGGAAGGAAAGCACCACACTAACCGAGCATCTCTGGGGGTCCTCTCACTGAGAGGAACACCACTCAACAAACAGACCCCACTTCAAAGCATAGCATAGTATCTTCAACTCATCCTCGGACTCTGACTGGGCAGCCGCCGAGGCAGAGGGCTGCTCAGCAGACTATTCAGCTTCTGAAGAGGAAAGCCCCTCCTCTGATGCAGCAATAGACATCTTGTCCTCTTCTGGAGCCCCGAAGGAGACACTGGGTCCGCCGCGGGACAGACTGGCGTCATCATCCGGAAGCTCGACGGTCCTACGCTGTGAGGGGCTGGACTTCCGTGGGGGCTGACCCGACAGAACATTCCTGACCGTGATCCTCAAGCCTCCCTTGTCCCCTAACCAGCGCATCCCCCGAATCTTTACGACCCGAGGAACTGGGCTGGGCACCCTAATTATGAATGAGAGCCACGACCTCAGCATAGCCATGGACATGCGCTCACAATGTGAGCAAGCACAATAAAGATGAATTGCAGCCAATAAATTCCTGCAGATCTTCTTTTCTTGATTGTAGAATCTTCTCTTTCAAATCAAAAGAGAGATGCGCTCAAGAAGCGATCGGCTCCGAAGCAAAACTCTGAATGAGTGGACGCACATCGCCATCTTATATACCCGTATGTACGGGGAGTGGCTTGGCATGCAAATTCCACTCACCAATTTTTATTGACCTTTTCTTGTAATGCTCAGAGGCTCCCAAGTGAGACCCCTAACGTCAGTTAATGTCGGCGTAATGTCAAACGTGACTGACTGAAAGGGAACACCATTTATATGAAACAGAAATCTTTTTAAAATGTCTTTACTGTCGCTTTGCATAAATTGAATCCATCTTTCATGACTAAAAGCATTAATTTCTTAAAACAATACATACTATAAAATATAGTGTGCAAGTCATATGTATCACTTTTACATCCGGAATGAACAGAAAAGGTCATAATTAGGATTTGCAATAGCATGAGGGTGAGTAAATGATGACGCAGTTGTCATTTTCGAGTGAACTATCCCTTCGCATTGTTCATTCTCACATTTTATGAAATTAAATGATGAATGTCTTAGTACCAAATGATTGAGTGTTTATGTATTATTCACCCTGCATGTGCTGGTATCTGTGAGAAATCAACCGAGGCCGTTTATCAGAGAGATCACTTTGGTGGCACACAGGGGATGTCTACAAACCTCTGCTCTCCTTCACTCTCTTCCTTATAATATCTCAAGCTGTCAGCATTCACAGCTACCACAGGGGATGAATGTGGTGCTTCATTCATGTGTGTGTGTGTGTGTGTGTGTTTGTGTTTGGTGCCTCAGGCTGTACAGTCACTGAAACACTGAGCTTAATGGAAACTGTGCTTTTAAAAACCATCAGTGTCTAAATGGATCTCCATCAACCTGAGAAGTGTAACGTTGGCTTTTTAACTATTTAACATAACATAGCCACATATCAAAATGAATCCAATTCGGATTACTACATACCAGTTAGAGATGTGGCCTGGTGAATAGTGCACATGCAATGACTACTGCACAGTGGTGTATAAAGTACCTGAAAACCATACTCAAGTAAAAGTACAGATATCTTACCAGAAAATGTCTTTGGTAGAAGTTGAAGTCACCGTTTAGAATATTACTTGAGTAAAAGTCTTAAAGTATTTATTGTACTTAAGTACGAAAAGTATTTTTTTAATCTTAAAAAATTTACTTAAGTATTGAAAGTAAAAGTACAAGTAAATGCAAAATGGAAAAGAAGCAAATAAATTTGATTTTAAAATTAAAATTAAATTAAAATTATTTGATTTTGATGCAATATTTACACTGAAGCTCGCAGGCGGCTATGGTAAGGGGCGTGACATTTCCTGACCAGGCGCCGAGTGCTGCCAATCACAACACACACTGGCCCAGCTAACCAATCACAGCACATTTCATATTTCAGAAGGTGGGCCTTCATTTGATACAGGAACTATTCCAGCCGTTCATGCCAGTGTTACAGAGCTGACGAGACGTGAGACGTGCGGAT